AGAAAAGGGAAAAGGGACTGAAGAAGCTCAAAATATGAAGAGAAGAACTTCAAAAATGGAGTTTTATTGCATTGGAAAGAGCTCATTGGTTTTCAGAAAAAAAGAAAAAAAAACTTTATTTATGCTAAATATGTAGGTAAGAGCCCCAACAAGACACATCAAAGGTGATTTTCCAGTGGTGTGCTATATGAATGATTAACAACTGCCTCTGTGGGAGAAAAAAAAAAAAAAAGACATTGACTTGAGCTGTTTGCCAATCTCTATAGTGAAAAGACTCTCACTGAGGTCCATTTGAAGCTCATGTCATTAAGCATGAAGTGGGAAAAGTTATATTCGTTTGACTCTCGTGAGCTGGTATGAGCCAGCTCTAGCACATCACAGCTTTTACTTGAATTTCAAATGTTCCTTCACTTATTAAAAATAGATGTAAAAGGTTGAAATGCATCTTTGAAATGTTTAACTCCAAACTCTATGCTTATTTTATAACAGTTACTCAGTCAGAATTAAGTTCACTTTCTTTCCCAAGCATTTTTTTTTTTTGTTAAATATGTGAGGTCTGAAGACAGGGTGGGAAGGTTCAGAACCTGGCTGCTGCACTTTCCAGCTGTGTGACTGTGGACACATTATTTAAGCTCTCTTTGCATCAGTTCCAGCATTTTCAAGGTAGAAATGGTAACAAGATTGACATGAAAAGTAAATCACTTATAAAAGAAATGCACTTAGAATAGTGCCTAGAATATTGTGAACGCTCAGGTAAGTTTAGTTGTATTTTTCATATATTTACCATTGGCTTAGTGATTGTGGAAGATGGGATAACAGAGGAAGAGTACTGTGAAAACTGGGGTGCCTAGATGGCTCAGTCAGTTGACCGGCCGACTCTTGGTTTCCACTCAGGTCATGATCTTAGGGTTGTGAGATCGAGTTCCTCATCAGACTCCATGCAGGAAGTCTGCAGGAGATTCTCTCCCTCACTCTCTCCCTCTGCCCCCACTGCCATTCTGTCTCTCTCTCACTCTTTTTCTCTCTCTAAATAAAAAAATAAATCTGTAAAATGAATGTTGATCCAAAAGAAATTGGACCAGGAATGGAAAGTAAAATATTTTCCATCTCAGAGCCCTGTCTACGTAAGAGAGCTTAGGTAGGGGTTATTTACTCAATATTCAAGAAAAGTTTTTGTCTTGTATGCTTGTCCCCTTCTGGAGCATAAATTTGACACAGTTGGTTTTTTTAAGTCCCATTTTGGGTTCTGACAATGGTATTGGATATGTCCGTTCTAGATTATATCTGTTGTATCTTATGTATACTCCTCATGATTTTCAATCAGAACTTCAAAAAAAAAAAGTCTTAAGATAATATACTAACAAGGATTTTATTATTTTAATTTTCCATATTTTTTTCCTTAGTAAGGAATGTCTCTCCTTGTGCCCCTCTATTTTGACAATGAACAAATGTAGCAGACTTGAGTTACTGTGGTCATTCTACTGTCACGAGTTCCCTTCTAATGCCAGCCACTGCTCTAAGGAGATGCTTTCCTTCTGGACAGTGAGCACCACTGGAAGCTTCAGTTCACAATACAGAATGTTAAGCAATGAAACTGATTCAAAGATAAGTTTTATTTCCTTACATTTGATCATACACTTGTTTGATAAGGATTAACTCCTCTAAAATCTAGGATGGGGCTGAGCTTAGCTGGAGGAAGGATCCTTTTAAAGTATGATATGACCAATGCATTTCAGAAATCCTTATAGATGGGGGGAATAAAGAAAGAGTTATATACCACAAACAGACTGCCTTCTCCCCTGCCTTTATATCCTCTTGCAAAATCTCCCAACTCTGTAGTCTCCTTATAAACTTCCTCTGTGCATCTTTCAGATGATGTTGATTCATATATGGCAAAGCATGTAGTAGGTCCCCCAAAATACTTGTTTAATGAATGCCCTAAAAATGAATCCCCAATTTTGGTAACGTACTGATTCTGCTATTTGGGAAAATTAGTAACTTCTTCAGAAAGACTCTAAAATTGAATTAAACGACAACCTTGAACCACAAAGAGTTAAAAGAGAAAAGTGGCAGTTAATCTGATGCTCTCTCCAGGTTATAACTAGAAGTAAAAGGCAATTCAAAGCTTGAGAAGAAGTTTGACTGTCTACAAAACTGGCTTTTGAATTGATTTTGGAAACCACATATCCTAAGGGTATTTAAGATTAGTAGATTCTCTACATGAGTTTGCTCTCTATGGGGAAAAACTAAATTATTTGACTGCAGGGATTTTAGGCTGCAAGTCCCAGGGAACTGAAGTCATAATACTTTAAAGTCAGAATCCATGTGGGGACAAGATGGAGGAAAGTTGTCCTAATCTGCTACCTAAAAGGACAAGGAATAGGTGTGCAAGTGTGTATAGAGTAACCCACATGCAGAAGACCCTAGCAAATACCACTTCTTTTCTTCTCTAGGCCGATAAGGAAAGATTAAAATAATTGTCAAAAGGAAGTTCTGAATACGATAGGCTATTTGAGAGCAGTTGATATTGACATCCTTTCTGATTTGATTTTTTTTTTTTAAGATTTTATTTATTTATTTGACAGACAGAGATCACAAGTAGGCAGAGAGGCAGGCAGAGAGAGAGAGAGGGCGACGCAGGCTCCCAGCTGAGCAGAGAGCCCGATTGATGTAGGGCTCCATCCCAGGAGCCTGGGATCATGACCTGAACCGAAGGCAGAGGCTTTAACTCATTGAGCCACCCAGGCGCTTCTCTGATTTGACTTTAATGCTACAACTGAAATTTATGAGGATGAATTTCAGCTAGGTATGCGACTGAAAATTTCACTGTTAAAACATTTACTCATTTATATTTTTTTATTGTTGTCTAATTCACACTTTAGCAAATAGTAATCAAGTTACTATGACCCTGCAGCCTTTGTGGAAAAATAAGAATAAAATGTTGAACTTTCAGAACAAACCCCAAATGGTTCATTGACTTTGTTTCACCATGGAAAAATCACTTAACCTCCCAGTGTCAGTTTACCCATCTGTGAAATGAGAAGGATAATATTTTCTTATGGGGATGTTTTCAAAATTATTTTGCAAATGTAGTGGATGAAATTGTTGCAAGCATCACTGCTCTTTTTCCACTTCTTTAAAGAAGCAGACAACATTATTTATGTACCAGTTGATAGTCAAATTGTCACCCGGGATGCACTGTGTATTCTTATTAGTGGTTGTGTGCTTTTTATTATTTAAAGAATCCCTCTTCCTCCCATTGTCAAGTTTATTGTTACATCAAAATTCGGGAATCTGAGCAAAATATCTTGAAATCATTCCGAGCTTCATATTTATGAACTGTTAATCTGATATCCCTGGTAATTATTTCTTCTTTCTGTTTTAGCTCATGTTTTCTCTTACATGGTTTTTTGCCTCACCTCACTTCACAAGATTGATAGTTTTCCACGTTTCCCTGCTAGAGGTCACCTCTGAGCTGAAGGCAAAATACATCCCACTCTGGCTCCTGTTGACTTTTAAGTCAACTATCAAAGAATTTACTCCAGACATCTCCTAACCTCAATTTAAAAACTCCACCCTAAAGACTATAGGGAGATATCCTGGGGAGTTGCCATAGTGACTCTAAGAGGTTGGCATTGAGAAGGCAAAGCTACTGATATCAGATTTTATAGTTGATAGGCTTAATTATATAACGTGGTCATGAACCTCTGTGCTTGTGTCATTTAGATCTGGAAAGAAATTTTCCCCTTCAGGCTCTTCTGTCTCTTACAGTGCCAATCAACAGGCTTCTTGGTAATAAGATCCTTTATGCCAATAGCTCCCCGCATAACCTCAAGTGGTGCTTGTGGTAATGACAGGATCATTACAAAACTAAAGAAGAAAAGGGAAATATATTTCATGGGTGTGATTAAGTTATCATAATGTTCTTGCATATGTAAATTATCCTTGACTTAATGAACTGCTTTGCTCACATAATAGTATTTTAACCTGGCTCTGGAAAGTCATTTTTTACCCATGTTGATAATTGTTACCAGACTTGGCAGAGCTTATCTCCAGATCATCTTGCTGAAGTGAAATTTATGTATTATGTTTCCATGTGCATGAATTGTTTTAACCACTAGAAGTGTTCTTATTAAGTAAAGTTATTATATGAATTATTTTAATAAAGTACTATGATACTTAGGAAGCTGGAATACTTGATTATATTCTAATGATATCCAATTTAAGGGTCAGTTAAAATACGTGTTTTTATCTTGATTATGAAAGAAATATATATTCATTGGGGAAAATCAGGAAAGTAGAGAAAGAAACAAAGGAGAATATTATCTCTATCTCCTAGGTTAATCTTTTTAAGATTTTGGTAGATAGTCTACAAGATGAACACTTTTTGAAAAACACTTATATTGTTTTCTCCAACACATTTCGTGTTTCTAAAAACAGCTACATCTACAAGAAGCTCTGGTAAAATAAGATTCTTTTTTTTTTATTTCTTTTATCAGAAATTGAATCTAAAGTTCTAGTGTCCATATTTCATAGACTATTCAGGATTATAAAAGCTACCAGGGAAGTATTTTATGTGGTTTCTTCTGCTGCTTTAGAGAGTTCAGTTCAGCCAAAATTATTCCAGTGCCTTATTTTCAAAGATGATGAGGTCCATCCTATATAATTAATACAAGGCCAAAGGAAATTAATGATAATCATGTTACAATTTGAATATAAATCTCCATGTGTGCCTAGAAGGCAAAGAAGTTTTTCTGGAACACATAAGGGTGTATGAAGGAGTCTTAATGGTATGCAAAACTGTTGTCCCTGATTAAGAATTTTCAATTATTCTTTCTGTCTTTTTGTAATATATAGTTTTGTTGTTGTTTGGTTGATTGAACGTTTTTGTTTTGTTTTGTTTTGTTTTTTGAGTGAAAAGTTAAGTCCAATGCAGCTCTTGGGAAGTTAATCATTTTATAACTTTCATTTAATCAACATTTTCTTTAATCCCTTTTTAGGCAGCCAAGGGCAGTTTCCTCTAACACAGAATGTAACGGTTGTTGAAGGTGGAACTGCGATTTTGACCTGCAGGGTTGATCAAAATGATAACACCTCCCTCCAGTGGTCAAATCCAGCTCAACAGACTCTGTACTTTGATGACAAGAAAGGTGAATACATTTTCTTTTAAATGTTTTAATCATATTCTGAAATATCCTAATTATAATGAATTTATTTTTCTGAGATGATTCAAATTATTCGTTTTGATTACCAGACTGCTGCTGCTTGTATTTAAACATGTTAAATATTAAATACTTTAGTTTGCAAGTCATAAACACTAAGATAACCTATGTCAACTTTTTAATAAAATAAACAGCTTCAATTCTGTTTCAAAAATCATTTTATGCTTTCTCTTAACCATTATCTTCTCTCTAGATATCATATTCTTATAATTGCCTTGTGTGTAGATTAACTACTTTTCCTCACTCCAGGTAATATACATATTTTTTTTTATTAACCTTAGCTTAATATATTTAGAAGATGCTGTATGATTTTGGAAAGTTTTGTGATTTTATTCTTATGAATGGGCTTGAAAGTAAGAATTGTAGAAACGATACCCATAATAAATTTAAGTAAGTCCATGTTTCAAAATAAAGAACTGAAATGAAAAAGATGTGTTTACTTCAAGTTGAGTTAGACTTCCTTAATTAACTGGACTCCTAATTGGATGATAGATTTTGATTAAAGCTTTTTTTAGAGAAGTAATGAAATTCATAAAATTCATTCAAGCAAACAACTGAAAGTATACATTGAATTTCTAAGACTTCATCCATTATTAAACATTGGGAGGAAAAGGGAGTTCATGAACTATAATAAAAATATGGAGCTGTTGCTGTAGATAAATTTACATCATATAGAATATAAATATTTATATATTGCCTGTTCAACACGGTCTCAATACCTGGACTTCTTATGAATCTGTATAGGTAACAGCAAGATAATTTGAAAGCAGTTCCATTTTAATGGTTAAAGTATAGTGTATTAGTCCAATAAATCTGCCCATTTGCCCTAAAATAGGAATTCACTATATTATTTTTACCTTGCTATAGTTTTCCCTCTTTGATACACTCTAGATTTAAAATGACTTGTTTATTTATTTAAAATTTTAATATGTAATGAAAGACTGATTAAAAATTTATTGACTCAACAAATAATTTTTAATGTTTCCGTCATCAAAGGTGTTAGAGTTGGTGAACAAACAGATAAAACCCCTGCCCTTAGAGGACATACAATCTAGTAAGGGGCAGAAGATAAACCCATGATTAACTATATTTTAGAGTACATTGGTAGGGGATAAGTGTTCTCTATCTCAATAGATAAATAGATGCATAGATAGTTGATAAATACTTACAAAAAGAGAGGGAGAGAGAGAGGGAGGGAGGGAAGGAGAAGGAGAAATTTTAAGAAACTGGCTCAAGTGATTGTGGACGCTAGCAAGTCTGAAATAGGCAAGGCAGGCTAGCTGACTAGAGACACAGGGAAAAATCAGTATTGCAGCTCAAGTCTGGAGGCAGTCTGAGACAAAATCCCTCTTCCAGGGATCTCAAATGTTTCCCTTAATGCTTCAACTGATTGAACAAGGGCACAGCAGGATAATCTGCTTCACTCAAAGTGTACTGACTTAAATTAATCTCATCTAAATATACCTTCCCAGGAGCATCCAGACTGACATATGACCAAATATTGGGGTACTGTGGCCTAATTAATTGGTTGGCATATAAAGTTAAGCATCACAGAGGGTCAGGCTAGCATTTCTGTAGACCTGCATTACTTAGAAAGAGCTTTTATTTATTGTATTATTTTGCCATTTGAAAGACGAGTACAGCAGGTATCACCAATGGCCGCATTGTCATAGAAGCATATGGGAGGATGGGCTTAAATGTCCCACAGTATTGTGAGATTTGAAAGTTAGTATGGTGATTTAAACCTTGTGACTCAAATATTGGCCAGACTTAAAGCCAAAGTGGTGACTCCATGATTATGTTTTGATTAGAATATTATGTAATCAGTCGGGTTTAATGTGGACTTTTAGTCACAGAGATTTCTTCTTCTCCTTTTTTTTTTTTTTTTTTGGTACATGAAGAATATTTTAAAGAATCTGAAAATGAATTTTGAAATGTTTATCTGCTAAACACTCACTATAGTAGTATTAATGTAATTTTAATCCCTATTAGTACTGTTGGTTATGTAATGCTTCTGATTAAGGACTTTTTTTTATCCCATTTAGAAAATTTTAAAGATATTTTGTGAGATTATAAAATATATCTTTGCAGTTTTAAAAAATATGAGTAATATCTATCTTTATTTATATTTAATTTATTTAGATTATCTTTATATCTTTATATTTAATGTGATACTTTAAAGTTTTTTTAAAAGAAAGGATATTTAAGAATAAAAATTTGATTTTTATGAATTAATTAATTACTTTAAAATTTTATAAATATAACCCCCATAAACTAACCTGTATTTCAGGTGTATGAATAGGAATGAAAGTTATATAAGTAAAAATGAAGCTTGAAGACTACCTTTGATTTCACTGGTTCCTAGTAAAAATTATATCTAAGTTTTATCATGCTAATATTCTGTAAGGCTTATATTTTGACTTTAAGTTTACTAGTACTTTTGGGGTAGTGAAGGCACATCTCCTAAAAAGTAAAAAAAAGAAAAAAAAAAAAAGGTGCTAATATTTACTTTTCTTTGCTCTTTTATGGTATTTGGAGGAGTTTGTTGTTTTTTGAACCAAGTGATCTCTGTTTCTTTCTAAAGAATGAAGTCACCTTGGGGCACCTGGGTGACTCAGTCCTTTGAGTTTCCCATTCTTGGTTTTGGCTCAGGTCATGATCACAGCCTCTGCAGAGAGTCTGCTTGAGCTTCTGTCTCTCTCTGTTCATCTGTCTGCCCCCATTCCCCTCTCGCTCTCATGCTCTAAAATAAATAATTTTTTTTGTTGTCTTTTAAAGAATAAAATCCCGTTAGTTAAAAAAAAAATACTTAAGAGTCACACACAAAGATTTAACAACCTCTTTTTGCTTTTAGTATTAGTTGATTACAGTATTTGCAAATAAATATTTAAACGTGTATGCCCAAACACAAGGCGACATCAATTTTAAGGAAATTTCTCCCTTTCCCAATGATGCAAAGCAAGAGAAAATGTTTTTGGGGACAAAATCATTTAGAGATGTTCATGGAACAATTAAATATATAGTTATAATATTTAATTCCTTGATTTGAGTATATTTGTGTATTTAAACTAATACAAAAACATATATTCACTTAGAGATACTGCTTTTCCATCCTAGCATTTAATGAAATAATCTTACTTAGCAGCCCTTTTTCAAAGTGTAGGATACTATCAATGAGAAATTTGTTCCAGGTAACAACCAAGAATTTTTATGACAGCAGAACACTTTTTTTGTTGTTCATTCATCCTGCAGGAGTGTAATAATGATCTGCACTATGCAACAACTGATTGTACTGCTTTTCAAGCAGATCTTTGAGACTCATGTTTACAGTGACATCTACAATTGTGAGGTCAAATCCTCAGGTACAACAACAAAATCTATACAAAATGCCTTTGCCTTCTCTTTCCGTGATTCCATAAGTTCTCCTTTATAGAACATCTAAAACCAGAATTGATTCAGGGTATTCCAAGCTAATGTGTCTTAGGATCCTGTCGAAAAAAAAAAAAAAAAAAAAAAAAAGAAATATAAAAAAAAAAGTTTAAAAAAAAATCGAAAAAAAAAAAAAAAAAAAAAAAAAAAAAGCAACTTGTAATACAAGATTTAAAAAGACTTGGAAATAAGGCAGCCCCTCTTTTCTGAGGGATAATTATGTTGGGAAAAATCCATCATGTCATGTTTGGGATATTTAGGAACATATTCATCTTACTGTTATAAAATAGCAAAATATCTGATCATTTGAATCGCTACAGTATGCACTTACTTTATTTTGTTTTTTACCAATTGTTAAAACAGCTTAGAATTACGTTGAAAAAAGACTCTGTGTGTGTGTGTGTGTGTGTGTGTAGTATAGCCAATTTCTGGTTTTGATATTAGACTGCTTGTAACTCTAACTCTATTATGGTTTTAATAGTCTTTTGCAACAGGGGCTCCTGAGTGGCACAGTGGGTTAAGAGTCCGACTCTTGATTTCTGTTCAGGTCATGGTCTCAGGGTTGTGGGATCTAGGCCGAAGCCAGGCTCTGTGCACAGCAGGGAGTCTGCTTGATATTCTCTCTCTCTCCACCTGCCCCTCCCCCATCAAATAAATGAATAAATCGTTTAAAAAAATAGTCCGTTGCGACAAAATGACCAGAAGTTTTGAATTTAAAAAATAAAAACAAAAACAAAAAACCTTTCATGAATGACAATTTAACATGTCTATTCCCTCACTAGTCAGTCATTGGTTCAGTTCTTATGTGATGTCCTAGTGGAAGGGATCCTTGTCCATCAAATGCAAGTGTTTGAAAATGAAAGCGTTTTTTTGAAGATGCCACAGTACAGTTCCCCCCCTCCCCCACGGTCTTTTTGTCTGCCTTTACCAGCCTCACCTCAATCCTAGGCTTATCTCGAGCAAACAAATATGCCATATGGTGCCAGAGCCTAAATGTGGAAGCTAAGTGTGCGTTAGCATGACTAGAGTAACACACACTTGCTGTGCAAGTGACAACCACTCAGGAGAACAATAGAGAAAACGAGTGATGGTCTGTATCACTGATTGTGCCAGCTTCTACAGGTGGCTGCTACCTTTAAATAAAGGTTCTGTCCTTAATTCTGTTCTTGCCTCTTACTTGTGGGAGCTTTCAGAACAATCTTTCAAGGGTATACACTATTACAGTGTTTTAATTGTGTCTCAAAAGATTTTAAAGATTTTATTTGTTTATTTGACAGAGAGAGATCACAAGTAGGCAGAGAGGCAGGCAGAGAGAGAGGAAGGGAAGCAGGCTCCCTGCTGAGCAGCGAGCCCGACGCGGGACTCGATCCCAGGACCCTGGGATCATGACCCGAGCCGAAGGCAGCGGCTCAACCCACTGAGCCACCCAGGCGCCCCTCAAAAGATTTTAAAATGCAGCTGAGGTTGAAAAGCTTTGGGTTAAGCAAGTCAATTTTCAC